GTCTAACTCCTTTGGCTCATATGAGTCAAAACTATTCTTGAGAATCAGGCTCATTATGACAGAATTTATGTAACATTGAACAACGCATTGCACAGCTATCCATCTTCATGTTGGCAAATTTTTTAATTAACTTTAGCTGCTTGATTGACTTTGACGGGAAGTAGACAGCAGTGTTTACTACATACATGTATACCAAATAAGATGAATGCCATCCTCTTTCCTGTGTCAGTCTAACCGCACCATTCATTTCAGGTGAAAATTCAGCGCTCACATTTGGATTTGGACTTAATACTTACATATAACATTAAGAATTACTTATAACTTTGTGTTTTGCTTTTAAAGAGACAACTGTTCAGTGTACCTTTTGTGACAGAAATATTATAAAGTTCTAAATATTGAAAAGAACGTGTACAGAGAGCAATGTGATACAAAAATTTAATGCTAGACAAGCTATTTATCAGCAATTACTGAGTAACAGGGCTTTCCAAAACCTCACAGTATGTCTTCCTTTTTCTATTTTCCAATCTATTTTCTGGTTTTTAATTTTCTTTTTCAGAGCTCTTAGAATTAACACCTAGGGGGTTAGAAATGGGAATGGAACAAATATGTGCTTTCCATCTCTCGTCCTCTGTCTTTGAAATTATTATCATAAAGGAAGATCTGCTATCATGGTGAGGAGCTCAACATCTGAAAAATAATCTATCTTCTACAGTATCATTCTAAAGTCTTAGTATCTTAAAATTATATCTGCTCTGCAGTATGAATTCAATTGGGGATCAGAAAATTTCTATTCCATGGCAAGATAAGGTTCAGTTACTGTATTCTTATAAACTGTGTTTATGAAGCATGAAAGGTTCCTATTACAGATAAAAATCAGAAGTACATATCCAGCATCAGTAAAAATTAAGGGATCCAACTAAGTTTACACGAATATGCTTTTGCGTCGAAGTCAATGCCCTGGTGTCAGCAAAGTGCTGAGGTATGAGGTTCTCTTTAAGTACAAGATGACGTACTTACACAATTCAAAGCAAACTAACTTGCTTGAGAGTTTACTACTATAAAATTCATCTTAACTGGCTGAAAAATCAGGGTAATTACATTGCTTTACATACTCAGTTACTTTTATTTCCTATACTAAATATGGGAATATTGGTCAAAAGTATTAAACAAAACTCTATTACTCATATATTTCTATTACTCACACATTCATTTGTCATATTCTAAAACTAATGGATTTAGCCAATTAGGGAACAATATAAAAATATGTAAAGTTATCTCTGTACTTTCCTGGTGCAGTTCATTAGATACACTCTCATACAGTCAATCAACTTTTTTAATTTGCAAAGCTAGAGGCATAGACAGCTCTTTAGAACTGTGGGGCACACATACAGCTTGTTCTGAGAGGACATGGATAGAAACTCACTAAAATCAGTCAGAATTTTCAAGTAAAAAAATTTCGGTATTTATCAAAGGACATATCCAAAAATGTACATAATCTGAGCTGAGTACATTTCCTATTGAAGAAATGATTGAATATAAAGTCACATTCTGGAATGCAAACATTTTACAGACTATGTGTAGTTTATCTTGAGTTTTAGTGAGAACGTTAAAATAAAAGTGTTGAGATATCTAAATTCCTTTTAAGTCAGGAAATATCTCCAACTTTAAAAACATATTATAATCATAAAAAAAAAGAGAAAACCATAGACATCTGCTTGGATGAATAAGCTATTTTTCATTTTCTGTTTTTCACCAAGTGTTTAAAAGTTAATTGCATGTTAACCTGAAAATATGCCTCAGATGATTTCTTTGTTTCTCCTATCTGCCAATAACAACAGAATCATAGAATGGCCTAGGCTGGAAGGGACCTTAGAGATCATCTAGTCCAACCTCCCTGTTGTGGGCAGGGACGCCACCTCTCGACTAGACCTGGCAACACATGGGGACCGAGCGGGAATCGAACCCACGACCTTGGTGTTGTCATTGTTGTCAGCACCACGCTCAAACCACTGAGCTAACTGGCCCCCTCAAGAACCAAACAACAAAACAAAACAATAAGAAAACAAGTATTCGCACAACTCTTTGGAGTCCCTAAATTGATTGTCTTAAGTGGAAGACATAGAATACCTTTGCCATTAGCAGCACTTCTGATTAAGTAATAAAACCTGATTGGGATTCTTGTCAGCTAATTATCCCTCTACAAATTCTAATTTAAGTATTTACAAAGAATTTTTTTAAGCTATCAGCTGATATACTTCAAAGTGATATCATACTGTTAGTTTTGTTTATAAAACAAGAAAAAAAACCAATCCTTTTTAGAATTGCACCTCCCAAAAGTAATGCTATGCAAAGTCAGAAACATTCAGAAGCAAGTCTGTAAGTCAGGCTGCCAGAAATACTCGCGTTTAGTGTCCTATTGCGGTAAGCAGAACGTCTTTTGCTAAGTCGGATTTCCATAAAAAGAATTACCACATACGGAATGTATAAGGGTTTGTAAATGAACACAACACACTGTTGTGGACTAAATGCAAAAATGTATAAACTTTACAAATCGCATGTTGAGGGTTGAACATTTCAAGACTATTTTGTCAATGTAAAATTTGTCAGTATCTAACTGCCTGAACCTGATTTATTGTTCTCATGGTCACTTAAAAGCAAAGTGTTTTAAAATAACTCAGAAGTAAGCCCCATAAGCTTTGGTAAGATTATACACAGTCCTATTCCACAGTCTGTGGCTGGTTGATCAAGAAGCACTCATCTTCCAAGAAATGCTTATAATGCTGGATGAGGAAAATATAAATAAATAATTTATTTTATAGAGTTAAGGGGAAAAAAAGGAAAAGGAAAAAGGAAGAGGAAAAGTAGCAGAGGGTCTACCAAATTTCAATAACAGAAGGCAGACTGACAGCTCAGTGGGAGGAAGTAGAAGCAGAGCAGAAAACTTTCCTTATGCAAACCTGGCTTTAAATTTTTGAACATGTGAGAATTTTTTTATTTGAGTGAACAGAAAGGATGGCTTAAAAATTAAAGGTGAAAGAGAATCTTATTAAATATTTTGTCAGAAAATCTGTTTATGTTTCGCATTGCACAATAATAAACATACATTTCCTCAGTTGTAAAGACAGAAGGCATTTCAAGGCTCTCGGTCTGAAATGCAGTACTGTAACACCTTTGATTTGCAGCAAGCACAAATGCAAGGTAATTAAAAGGAGACAGATGGAGGACTGCAGGCAGCAAAGACTTATTATGAAAAAGAATTTGGTCCTGATGCTGAAAAGGTCAAGTAACAAATGTATTTCATTATCCCAAATTTCAGCCCACATATACTAAGTATGAGGAAATGGAATGAATTTATCAGATCGAAATCATTTTTATTTTTTCTTTTCAGTAAATAAGTACAAGGGTCTTTGTCCCTAGAAATTGTGTCCTGATCCACAGGCACCTTCCCATCAGTGCAAGATAACATCTTTCTTCTGTAACTCCAGGAAGTACAATTAAAGGTTTATGTTTCTTGACAATGTGGAGAAAATAAAAAAATAACAAAAAACTAACAAATCAAGCAGACAGATAGCTCTCACAGATGTTAAAAACAAGGAAAACTGCTGTACCATCAACTAGGGAAATCAAGCCATTCTAGTGAGACTGGCATTCAAAGACTAAACTACCATTTTCTTAATATTTATATATGAATCCTATCTTCTACTTTTTTTCCATAAATAAAGAAATTATGCTGTTAGTAAAATAATTTGCCATTAGAAAAATCAAAATAATTTTTGTATTTGAAGAAACTCTTTCATGGTTAAAATCACTGAATGTGATTTTACTTCCATTTTCTTAATTGCAAGTTACAGTTTTGTAATATCTCTCACCACCATCTTAAAACCCAATATATGATTCTTTCCAACATAAAGCGAAGCCAAAGAGGAGTGAAACTGCTTTTAGAAACTTTTAGAAATAGATTTTATATACCAAATACGAAAGCAACACTTAAAATCTGACTGTACAGAAAGATTTGGCTGGAACTCACATAAAAAAAGGCAAGTTTACAACCTTTGGGGGAAGGGGCAGACAACCCAGGAGAACTACAAGGATGTTGTAAGGTTATGGCAGGAAGAAAACTAGAAGGGCCAAAGCCCAACTAGAACTTAATTTAGCCACTGCTGTAAAAGGCAATAAAAAGTGTTTAAATAAATATATTAGTAACAAAAGGAGGGATAGGGAGAATCTTTGTCACATAGTGACAAAGGATGAGGAAAAGGCAGAGGTACTTAATGCCTTCTTTGCCTCAGTCTTTAACAGTCAGGCCAGTCATACCCCAGGTACCCAGACCCATGAGCTGGAAGACAGAGATAGGGAACTCAATGAAGCCTCCACATAATCAAAGGAGAAATGGTCACCAACCTGCTGCTCCACTCAGACACACACAAGTCTACGGGGCCAGATGGGATCCATCCAAGGGTACTGAGGGAGCTGGTGGAAGTGCTCACCAAGTCACTTTCAATCATTTATCAGCAGTCCTGCCTAACTGCGGAGGGCCCAGTGGACTGGAGATTAGCCAGTGTGATGTCCAACTACAAGAAGGGCCAGAAGGAGGATCCAGGGAATTACACGCCTGTCAGCCTGACCTCAGTGCTGGGGAAGGTTATGGAGTACATCATCTTGAGTGCCATCACACGTCACATGCAGGACAACCAGGGCATCAGGATGAGTCAGCATAGATCCAGGAAGGTCAGATCCTGCTTGACTAACCTGATCTCCTTCTATGACAAGGTGACCTACCTAGCAGATGAGGTACAGGTTGTGGATGTTGTCTACTTGGACCTTAGTAAAGCCCTTGACAACTGTTTTCCACAGAATTCTGCTAGACAAGATGGCAACTCATCACTTAGACAGGTTGACTCTTTGATGGGTGAAAAACTGGCTTGGTGGCCAAGCACAAAGAGTGGTGGTGAATGGAGTTAAACTAACAAGGTACAGTCACAAGTGGTGTTCCCCAGGGTTCAGTATTGGAGCCACTTCTGTTTAATATCTTCATCAATGATCTGGACAAAAGGATTGAGTGCACCTTCAGTAAGTTTGCAGAAGACTCCAAACTGGGCAAGAACATAGCCTGAAGGTAGGAAGACTATACAGAAGGATCTAGACAGGCTGGATCAGTGGGCTGGGGCCAACTGTATGAGGTTCAACAATGCCAACTGCCAGGTCCTGCACTTGGGTCACAGCAACCCCAGGCAGCACTACAGGCTTGGGGAGGAGTGGCTGAAGAGTTGCCTGGCAAGTAAGGACCTGAGGGTGTTGGCCAAAAGCCAGCTGCAATGAGCCACCAGTGTGCCCAAGTGGCCAAGAAGGCCAACAGCATCCTGGTCTGTGTCAGAAATAGTGTGGCCAGCAGGAGTAGGGTCGGGACTGTCCCCCTGTGCTCGGCACTGGTGAGGCTGCACCTTGAAACTTGTGTTTAGTTTCGGGTCCCTCACGACAAGAATATTGAGGTGCTGGAGTGTGACCAGAGAAGGGCAATGAAGCTGATGAAAGGTCTAGAGCACAAGTTCTATGGGAAGTGGCTGAGGGAACTGGGGTTGTTCAGGCTGAAGAAAAGGATGCTCAGGAGAGACCTTACCGCTCTCTACAACTCCCTGGAAGGAGGCTGTAGAGAGGTGGGTGTTGGTCCCTTCTCCCAAGTAACAAGTGATAGGACAAGTGGAAATGGCCTCAAGTTGCATCAGGGAAGTTTAGATTGAGTATTAGGAAACATTTCTTCACAAAAAAGGGTTGTCAAGCACTGGAACAGGCTGCCCAGGGAACTGATGGAGTCACCATCCCTGGAAGTATTTACAGACGTGTAAATGTGGTGCTTAGTGACACAGTTTAGTGGTGGACTTGGCATTGCTAGGTGAGTGGTTTGACTTGATCTTAAAATTCCTTTCCAACCTAAACAATTCTATGACTCCATAAAATAATTACAGTATGGTAAGGTTAAGTAGCTCCATAGTAATTGACTCAGCAAAGTGCAACGCTCAATATAAGCCATTTACCAGTGTGGAGTACTGTTGAGTTCTGCGCTGCCACTGGCAAAAATTCTGCAGAAAGGACAGATGACTAATTCTACTAAGCAGGTAAGATTTAATAGTATCAAAAAGCAGCAACTTGTTTAAACTTACAAAAAACTCCAACTTTTTTAAAACACACACTTCCTTATCCTTAAATTTGTTTATAGTCTGTTTGCTTTTGGCTGCCATCAACAACTCTTGTATGCTACTAGTGACTTAAACTAAGACACAATTATTTGTCTAATTTTTTTTTAAAACTGGCCTTTTTGAAGTGGTTTCAGAATACAATTCATACATACTAGAAACCTGGGTTGGAAATTACATGTTCCCTTTCCAACAGTCTGAACCCACTCTCATACCACATCATAGAGAGAAAAAGAACGTCAAGACTACTTGAGCAACACTTAAAACATGTGTTAAACTGGACAACCACTAAACAATATCTATAGGATGAATGTTTCCTATGCATATTTAAAACTTTATTTGCCATCAAATAAAAATATGCAGGCTTTCTTTTTATTGACCCTTCTAGGAGAGTGCACAATCAAGTGACAATCCGAAGTTAAACTGAGCGGTTTGCATTAAATACGTATCACCACACAGATATACATGAAAAATCCATGAAAAAACAATTTCATACATCTCCATATGTTAAAGGAACATTCACTCACTGTCTCTCTCTATTAAGTTCTATAATTTACTAGAAAGAATTTAATCTAAAAATAAATTTTACCGAAAATACTATCCCCATTCTATTCTGCTCTTCATCTCCTCATTGCAACAAACTAAATATAACTTTAAGTGTTGGACAATTTTTGCATCATGAAAATTAACAATATGAAACTTGAAATCTAATTCTGAAATAAAATAATGCCATTTTCCAGTTTTGCATGAACTGAAGAGAGACAGAATTCTCTAGCTGGATAGTTAAGTTGTAATGCCTAAACAGTCAACAACTTACGCATTGCAGTAATTGTTTTAACTAATTATTATCAAGTATTTTCCAAATCACATAGCAGGATCTTAAAGTCTAGACAGTCTATTTACTATACAGTTTGATAATTTTACTTCTGTCCATAAGAAAATTTTCTTTCTATTTTTATCTCTTTTCTTGAACCTGCTGTTCAAAGTTAGGTGCTACCTTCTGGGTACTTAAACCTGTATATTCTATAAAATGGTCTATTTATTACATTTTATGAAACAAATACAGATGAAACACTCCCCAACACCACTTCTCCAAAAGTAAAGATGACAGTACCTGGTGAGCTTGCAACAGCTGCTCAGCAAAGTGATGTACTTCTGAGAGCAGAAGAGATATTAAAGAATTTCTTAGTATGTTGTTCTTTCCTAGCAAAACTAGCGTGTCTGATACAGCATACAGTGCCTGAAACTAAAGAGAAAAAAAACCAGTAAATTTAATTTTTCAAAATATATCTCTGTATTTTTTTAACTTAAATAAAAATAGGATCTACATACTAAAATTTTGAAGAAAAAAAAGCAAAGTCAAAAGTTTTCAGAGTTTAAAACTATTAATTACATATTTATGAGATCTCTGAGAAACCCACATCGATTACCTAGAAACTTTCCTTTCTCAAAAGATTAGTATTACAGGAGACTGTCATATGAACAAACTCCAGCAAAAGTGGGAATTCCCCAGAAGGCAGCTTTTCAACATTAGCTGTCATTGTGCCCATCTGCGGTCAAAGAAAGTGGGTGATCACCCTGCAGACAGTACTTCTGCTTGTCATGGGCAGACAAAGGAACAAAATAAATTCTTTGAAATTCAAACCTGTGAGTAAGCTTAAGAGCTATACTGGAATTTCCTGTCAATAGAGCTACCAGGAATAAACCTGATTAAATGCTAACTGATAGAAGATAGATACATTACATTTTCAAATTCAAACAATTCACTTTCATACTGTTGTTTAACAAGCTGTAACCAAGGCACTTCTCTGGAACCACAGAAGTTCTTTGAAGTTACATGAGAATTCTATTAGCAATTTTATTCTAATTTTGTCACAGTTTTTACTATTAAAAATAAAAATATTTTTCTCTTTCTTGAAATGGAAATATATAGCTATTATGTTATAAAACAATGCTCTGCAAAGTAAACATGACATTATTTTGTAAAAGGCTACTAGAAAGAAATTATCATTTATATAGAGAAATATGTTGCAGTACACTGAAAGAAAAAGTAATACAAATTAAATATGACTATGATTTTATTTTTATAAAAATTTATACCCCTACAACATTAATATTCAGTATCTTTTTGTAAATTAGTATTTTGGACTAACAAAAGGATACTCTGAACCAAATTTGTGTGTTCAACTACCACGTCTTAACCACTTAAAAGCAGACCACCATATCCTATTAAATCCAATCTAGTTTTATTGCTCTAGGCAGCTCATGTGTGCATACACATATTCACATACATATATATAAAAGAATAAAAATACTTTCCCACCATTTATAAGCTTGCATAGGATGAATCCTCCTGGAAATCACTTCCAAACACATGAAAGCCAGGAAGGCGATCCGGCAGTAGTCAGTATGGATTTATTAGAGGTAAACCATACGTAACCAACCCACCAGCCTTCTGTGCCAAGATGACTGAGCAGATGAGGGGAAAGCAGTGAGTATCATTTATCTTGACTTTACCAGTTTTCAACTCTGTCTCCTGTAAAATCATTATCAACAGAATTTCCGGATAGTTATGCAAACAGTGAGGTGGCCTGAAAGCTATTGCTGTAAAAACTGTTAATTAGGCAGCTTCCCATTTACAGTGACTGCCTGACTGCCTGATCAGATGGTCAAACTGCCCTGTCAGTTGATGCCACACCTATTTATCAGTCTCTGACAGCTGAGGAGTTTGATCAGCTTGGTTATCATCTGCCCAGTATGAGACAATCTCCTGTTCACAGTCAGAACAATCAAACTTCAATAAATCTTCACTGTTAAATCATTTCACTCCAGTATGTAATCTCAAAAGAAATAGAAAAAGAAAATTATAAAAAGACAGACGAGTCATGTTCAGAATCAAATCTGCAGACTGAGACAAAAAGAAAACTCCTCATATTAAAGAGAATTCATAAATTGTACAAATATAGTTTTGAACATCTGAGATGAAAATAATTCGTAAATGTATACACCAAAGATTCTATAATGATGAAATGTGAAAGAATGCAAGATAAAAATAGATTTCTGTACAACTAAAATTATATTAAAGGATAATGTAATGCATGCACCTACATGTGCTTTGAGGATCTATGAATTAAAATTAGACTTTCATATACTGGATAGTTCTGCCTTTGACAGCACTCATGTTCCAAAAAGGTAGAAATGCTTTAAATCATACTCAAAGTTTAAACAATGCTAAAAAAAGAGTGCATTTTTCATTGAAGTCCCATTCATTTTTACTTCTATTTATAATTAAGGATGGATACGTACTTCTATAATTTCAGAGCATAACATTGAGTGCAGTTATGTAAGAAGTAGTAGTAAGAAATAAAATGAGAACAAAGAATTAGGGTTAAAATAATGTTCACAGACTGTATGCATTAAATGCATACAGAAGAAATTTATAGCATATAATCAATAAATTTATAAATAGTGAACAGAAGTAAGTCTGTGTTTCAGAGCAACGCTCAGTATTGCTAATTAAACTCTGGAAAAATTCAAACTGGTAATAGCTCAAATGGTATGCAGTTTCATTAAAGATAAAAGCATATCTTCAGCTCTCGAATCTATCAAATGTTAAAAAAGGAAATCTTTTATTCCGTTGGGCTTGCTTAATGGTATAGATGAAATAAAATCTATGTTCTTCAGGGAGTCTCAAGTAAAAGCAGTTAGAAAAATAGATGGCAAAAAACATACAATCAAAACAAGAGAATAATGGAGCCTGGTTCACTGCTCAGGAGCTGCATCATCCCTAACCCTCCTCCCACAGTGTGGGTTTTGCTCTCTTCTCATGCTCCTCAGGCTGCAGAGCAAGAGAGAGCAATGCTGGGTCCATAGCTGGGAAGGATGTGTGCGTTGTTGGATATATGTCCATGTTCTGCTTGCCTCAAGCACTCTACTTTGGTCTCTACTCCACTGGAAGGTATTTTTGACCTTCCACTTCATTCCAAGTGATTTCCAGCTGGCTATCAGTTTCAAAAGTTACCAGTAGAGGAAATGACTGATGAGCAAAACAAGCACACTCCTATGAGCCTTGTTTCACCGGGAAACCAGGATAAAAATCTTTACTTATGAATTATTTCTTTACAATTTATTTCTCAGAATGCGTTAAGACTTTAATAAGGGTTATCCAGAACTTGTGGGATTAATTCCTTCCACTTCTAACTCATCAATGTCAACTGAAAAGTTTCACTTGTATACAGAGAACTTTAGTACCCCCTTTCTTACCTTAATGTCATGTTGCTTCCTTTGTTATTTTGACGGTTGTCATTTATCTCTTCTATCGTTTATGATGTGCTGTTTCTCTTATCTTCAAGTCATGGGATTTGATACCTATTATTCCAATTGCTTTGTAAACCTCATCTCAAGACCTTGCTCTGCCCTTACCCCTTCACAGTCGTGTTCATGTTTCTCCCCACTCTTTTAAACCTGATGTTCTCTGCTAAGACCATTAATTAGCTTCACTGCTGCAAGCTGCCTTTTATATTACAGTATTTCAGTACATTTTTGCAGAGCTTTAGCTGAAAAATATTCTGACAAGATAGTGATATACAATAGAGGCAAGTCTGTTTGCAACATGTGTGACTGCATTCACCAAAAATGTTTACAAAAAAAGTTAAAATGCAAAAGGTGTGAACAAGTTTCTATCTTTTTAAGAAATGATTCAGAAAAGGCAAAAAAATAATGAAAATTAAACCAAGATACTTCAATATCTAGGAAATAATTACTGTAATACGGCACCTGCATGCTGTGGAGAGGATGGAGATGGAGAAACAAATAACCTGAAGTCAGCCTACTAAATATTCTGAAAACCAGAACACTTCAGTGAATGACGCTGGAAAAGCCAGAAACGCCAGCAGTAACTATCACGGTACTCACTGAAAGAAACGTGCAACCTCTTGGCTTAAGTAGAGTTTTCCTGAATTCGTGAAGCAAGGAGGGAATGTCTCCAAGCAATTGTACTACATAGAATGTTCTGGCTTGGAAGGCACCTTTAAAGGTCATTTAGTCTAACCCCCTTGTAATGAGCAGGGACATCTTTAACTAGATCAGATTGCTCAGAGCTCCGTCCAGCCTGGCCTTGAATGTTTCCAGGGATGGAGCTTCCACCATCTCTCCAAGTAACCTCTACCAATGTTTCTCCACCCTCACTGTAAAAAATTTCTTCCTTATATCTAGTTTAAAACTACTCTCTTTTAGTTTATAACCATTACCACTCATCCTATTGCAACAGGCTAAAAACATTGTCCTCATCTTTTTGATAAGTCCCCATTAACTACTGAAAGGCCACAATAAGGTCTCCCTGGAGCCTTCTCTTCTCCAGGCTGAACAATCTCAACTACATCAACTCCTCCTAGTCATCTTTGCTGACCATGAAGTTTCTATGTCAGATTGAGAGTGTGAAGGTGCAATTTCTTCTGCTCACAGATCAAGGTTTATATTTTAGGTTTATTTCTGTATGGCTGCCTACAAGTCATTCTCTGATTCACTGATCATCAAGGTCCCTTGAGCTCCCTATATGGTTTTATCCAACCCAATACCAGTTCCCTATGAAAATAGGCAGTAGCTCATGAAACCGCTTGCATCTGTCCACAGGCTGAACTAAGCCAGGTTGGGTGCTCCTGCCACGCAGGAAAGAGATCAGAGACCACAGAAACTGCGGTGAAGGAGAGACGCACTTGAACCTACCTTCCTATTCACCCCATCCCTTTCTGCTTCTTCACACCACCAAGCCCTCTGGCATAAGCAGATCTCCCAGGCTATTTCCCAGCTGTTTAGCCCCTGCTTTCCCTGCACAAGGGAAGGCTGTTACTGCTGAAGTAAGGAGGACAAACTCAAACCAGAGCCAGTGCACCCACAGAGACTGCACTACCCTTTAGTACGTCCTAAGCTTGACTGACATGCACAAACCTTTCCCCTCATCCTCCTGACAAGTATAAATACTTAGTACGTAGCACAACTTGCTGTTACTTCTCTAGCTGCTTTCTTACCTAGGTACAAAATATTAAAGCATTAAACTACATCTTTTTCAGTTTCATTAATATTTTTCTAGTATGAGTTCCATAATGAATGCTTTACTGAACACCAGACAGATAAAAGCTAACAAATCTCTCATCTGCACACACAGTTTAATGCTCTTACATTGTTCTGCCACAATTTACCTCTGGTAAATTCAAGCTGCATTTTATATCGTTTATTTTAATTATTCTT